GAATCACTGATACCGACGTGGTGTTTCATTACTGATTTCTTGCATTTTCAGTTTTCTGAAAGCTTGCGAATAATTGTTCTTCTTTGTTTGGGTTGGAAGTTCTTCTTTGTTTGGCCTGGAAGCCTGTTAGGCCAATCTATGTTGCACTTAGTTTGCAAATTTTGAGCACGCATAGCTGGCAAATTGTGTAAAGTCTGCGTCGGTTCGTGCCTTATTCCTAATTTAATCAAATTTGTATGCATATCAGTTGATTATTCTTTGCCATATGTAACAAAATGAGCCAATAACACAAAGGGTTAGCTTTAGCAACATATTCTTACAAAGAATTGTTACCCATCTGCCTTGGGACATCATATATAATTACTGATACTGTTTTTGCACCGATTATCTCTATACTCAGAAGATAAGCTTTACTAACATTGCAGCATCTCGAAAGATGAATAGCTCTCTTGTTGTCTCATTGGTTTCATTTATTAGAATACGTCAGTCAATTAGCCAAACTATGTGATTTTTCTTCTGAGCTCAGCGCTCGCAAAAGGCTTAGTTTGTCACGATACCGTGTGGATTGAATATCCTACGCGTAAATGTCAAGATCGTTCTTATCTTCAGCTTACCTGTCTTTTTCAGCTTACCGGTGTGGAGTACCGTTTAAGGGATTTCGTTGTTCGTGTTGGTACTGCCTCGCAAGTTACTACCACGAAAGGGGTTATCGTTGAGGTGCGGATGCCTTCTCAAGACGTTTATCGAAATTTTCTTATATATTGCAGGTAGAATATGAACCTTCGCAGGTAGCTGTACAAAGTGCACATATGATGACGGAAATGATGCAGATGTTCTTCCCTCAATATGTTGGTGATTCGCGAGTTAAGTTTGTGTTTTTTGAATTCTTGATTGTTGTAGGCAGCGAATAAACCTGACGTGATCAATAAATCGTCGCCTGAACCATATTCCGCTTTGGACACTATGTACCAGTATCTGACTATTTTTCGGCGGATGAGGAAGAAGACTTGACACTAGAGTCTTGCTTGCATGACAATAAAGTATTTTGTACTATGTGTATGAGTCCACCTCAACGGTTTCGTCCGCTTGTATCTGTCTTTCTCACCGCTTTCGTTTGTGTTTTTATCGAATTTGAATATGAGCAGATGCAATCGTCAACGTCACATCCTATGTGGCGTGTCGTCTTTGAGCACGTCGACGAAGCTCGTGCTATGGTCAACAGGCAATGCTCCCATTTGGAATCTTGGCAGGTACTGATATAATTTATCTCTTATCGTTATTGACATTCGATATTCAGATCATATCTTACACGATATCCATGTGTTTTTTGATTGTATGGTTCCGTCGAATGAATCGCTCGGACAAGCCGTTTATACAAAGATTCAGGTATGTCATGCGCTAGAAGAAGCCATCAGATCTGAATAGTTATGCTGTTCCTATCACTCCGCTTCCTTCCCAAAAGCAATAGTCTGTACAAAGTAGCTGGGTTAGCTAAACAGTTGTTTGAGCGGCAGTTTATTTCATTCCTGGTTAAAATTTAGACGTTGAAGTTTCGCCCAGCAGCGTACCGTGAACCAGTCAGAGTCTTCGAGTACGGTAATGGGCGAGAT